GTTCATCTACTTCAACGGTCCTGAAGAGCTACACATTATTGGAAGATCTTGATATTGATGATGAGGTATATCGTTTTAGTTGAAAATTTATCTTTGAAAAAATCTAATTTTTTTTTCTTTTAATGATATAGGAAAATGATGTTGAACAAGTAGATTCTACCACCACCAATGGTGTTAAGTAATGATTGAGTTGGTGTAAAGTTGGTGTTAAGAGATGATTGAGTTAATTGAGATGATTCTACCACTCATTATGTTATTTGTGTTATGTTGTGTGATGTTGAATTATATCAAATGTAATTAGTATTTTGGATATTTGTTGTTTGTGTTATGTTCAAATATGTTATGCTACATTATGTTGAGTTAGATTATGTTAGATTATTTAGAATGTTGTTGAATTATATAAAATGTTGGATTTATTTAAAATTTTGGATTATGTTGATTTAAACTTGGGCTTGGACTTAGGCTTATGCTTGGGCTTGAGCGGGTACGGGGGAAGCTGGGACCGGAATGAGGATTATAAATTTACCCGTGGACGAAGATGGAGATGAAAATTATACCCGTTAATAGGGTGGATCAGGGATGGACGAAGATTTTTTAAGTGGATACAGGGATAAAGATTATACCCTCCGCCCCCTCTTCGGTCCATTGACATCCCCACCGCCCATAAACGCCGGTCTGACTTCATTTCCAAATGCTAACAATTAGATTAGAATAGTTTCTATGTGTGGTACTTACTAATAAAATATTAAAAAGTAAATTATTATCAAAGATAAAAATTAATCAGTTCATCTTACTCTAGATCTTTATATTTTTGCTTTTTTGGAATAATATATCATTATATAAAAAAATTGTACTCAAGCCAAATACGAAAATCTCAAAGCACCTATGGTCATGGGTAAATTTTAGTATATGAACAAAAATGTTGGTAATGTACCGTTATGTGCAAGTTCTAGAATTTTTTGTACAACATTTTAAAGCTCATTTATAATTTTTTGAGATTTTGTGATAAATCAAAAAATTGTTAAGGTTGATCCCAAGTACTCTAAAAATTATAACTTAACTCTTAAAAAATTATAATTGGAATCTTAAAGTAAGTCAAAAATTATAATTTTAGAATCGTCAAAAATTACGTTCACGAGAGAGAAAAATTAATCTCAAGGGGTAGATGAAGGGATAAAAAAAATGAATTATAAATTCAAATGTACTAAGTTTAAATGATATCTCTTTGAGATCAAATTAGAAAAATTTCCTTTATGAATATTATAATCTCTGTGACTTATCTTTAATTAAATTAAAAAAAAATTAATAAAATTGTACATAAACTGAATTTGAACATCCTTCACCTTTGAAAGAAAACCAAGCTATCTTATCCACCGACCTTACATATATCAATCCTCGTGATTTATGTTGAAGAACAACTTTTTTATTTATTTATCAAACATAGGTCACTTGTTTTTCTTGTGCTTCTGCCACCTTTGCTCTCTCTCTCTCTCTCTCTCTCTCTCTCTCTCTCTCTCTCACTTTTATGTCTAAGGTTAAGCATGCATGGGCACTGCTGTGAAGAAGCATTGGCTTACAGAACAGCTGAGATTGAGAGGTTGGAATTCTCTGATGAGTCTAATCTATCAATCTCTTTCACCTTTGTAGTTTAATATTTTTGGTCACTTTCTGGACAGCTATCGAGTGATATGCCACACTCTCTCTCATCCATTTTTTTCCCCTCATCCAATTATCCCCCGGATTTCTGTTTCCACTCTTCATAGTTCATACCATTTCTTGCAATAAAATCAAATTGAATTTATTGTTATAGAATCAGTATTGAATATTTGTAATTATCCAGTAATAAATATCTATTAATTTAGAAAATATAAAGTGAAAACTACACTACAGGTATAGGCAAGAGTTTTTTTTTTTTTTTTTGAAAAAATTATGCTGCACAAATTTATTTATCAAATTTTGTATCTCAAGTTATGTGTCAAAATCTTATACAATTTTTGGGCAACAATTGATTTTGTAGTAATCCAACTATTTGCGTTAATTTGTGATACAAATTTTGGGCAACAATTTGATCACCATAACATTACATACTTTTATAATCATAGATTACATACTTTTAAAGACCGTTGCTCGAAGGCATACGAATGACGACAACGCAAGACTGTGCATCGAAAATCAGAGGGATTGGATTTTAATTTTTTAGTAAAATGAAAAATAGAAAAATTGTGGAATGAACTTAACTAATCAAAATTCTTGACAGGGTATAGATTTCTTTTGATTTATCTTTTTGTCATTAATGTTTGATCTCATAAGAGATCTGGGAATTTAAGCCTCCAAAGCTCACTAATAAATTTTCATCTCTGTAATTAACTTATGTCAACAGAAAATTAATCACAGAGGAGAGGGCATGAAGACACAAAATATGCACAAATTGAATTGAAGTTTCTACTTTCACATAGGCAAACCAATACTTAAATAAAAAAGATACCCAATACACGTGTACGAGATTTCTGTTGTTACAGGAATCGAAGAGGTTTAATGGTACTCTTACCCTCTACAAATAGAAAAGATTGTTTCTGCGACTATTTTTAAGTTCGAACACGTGATCTCTAAGTTACAATAAAATAACCTCACAATTATGTCAAAACTCACTCTAAATAAACCTATACTTAAACATACTTTGTTAAGATCATTTTCAGATGAAAATCAAAAGGAATATACTAAAAAGATATTCCTGGGATTGCCAAGTTTGAAAACTTGGCGTGAATGGATTATAGCACCAGCAGAATAAACAATGTTCTCTCCTCGACCATATGTCATCTTCACCCATATCAAGAGTGCTTCAAGTTATCCTTTGTTTCTACCTATCTAGGTGCTTTAATCCTTGTATGGAAATGGCAATAACATGTATTCTAAATGGCAAAAAATATTGAAAAAATTGAGGAAAACTATATAGATATAAAATGAGTATAATCAAAACGAAAATGCTATTAATTTTACTTTTATTCATTTAATATTTAAATCCTTGGGTAATGCTAAGATATCGACTTTGGTACCATACCTCCAACAATCTCAAGCATTGATTTTTTATTAGATGATATATAATTATTAATTGAAAAAAAAAATATAAAGTAATAAAAACAATTATATGTGTTCTTTGTTTTTATTGGTTGAAAAACAAAGGCGTGGTTAAAAAAAAAAAAAAAACCTTTTCGATACCGTAACGAGACTCTAAAATCTTACTTGTCATATTATCGCTACTTTATTTGATTAATTTTTTTCGTTCTTTCTAGCATTTTACTTCAAAATCTATATGTTATATTGTTTATCATTTATTTGATAGTCTATTTTCATTTTACGATCAATTTAACATAACCCATTTTTTTTTTTTATTTGTTTTCTTGTCAAAAAAGTTGTAAGACATGAAATTCTTATATGAATGTGATCATAACTTAATGAGGTAGTTTTACATAGCAGTTTGGACAATTAAATCTACGCAAGCTTTCCAAGAATAACTAGTATTATAGATTGACTTCAATCACACGAAACTCCTAAAAATAAGTTAATCACTCTATTACTCATAAATAGAACCTAAATGATGAATTACCAGACACACTATACGACGCAGCTCGGGTGGTTATTCTCCTTCTTCATTAGCTTTCACACCTCAACGGACGTCTTCAAACTTAAATACGTATCTTAATGCTTGGTCTTAAACACGCCAACTGTGACTTTTCAGTTTGTCGTCCCCACAACCACCACTTCCCCCCGTGAAGGGGCAATTCCGTAAATTAATCCACGTCCACATATTAACTTTTATAATCAGTCACCCATCGCCGGCCACTAAATCCGGATGACCTTTCGTAGTTGACTCCACCGCAAAATGTAATACCAAAAATAGCCCCCTAATTCTTATGGCTCAATTACCCTTTAAACCATCTTTTTTTTTTGTTTAATTATAAAGAGTATTCAAGTTAACTTATGCACATTTAAACTAATCTTTTTTTTTCGATCGAGATTGATCATTCACTTGGGAATTAGAGTATTCGTAACCTAATAAATTATCAAGATTCAAACTTAAAACATCTGAATTTATAACTCGTCTCTTTTATCACATAAACACTCTCGAAGTTTCTTTAACATTTTTTGGACAACCGGCACTTTACACCCTGAAGAATCTTTGCATTCTCAACTTATACATTGAAATATTGAAAATTTCAAATTACACCTCTATCAAACAATAAGGGCGGAACGTGTTTCAATATAAGAAAATGACTAATTTTTTTTTTTGAAAATACTTGAGTATTATACAAATAATAATGTAAAAAAATAGGATTTAGTGAGTGAGTGAGTATTGTAGATAGTGAATATTTATTTTTAGACCACATTGCTACTTTTTTTTTATCTAATTGAATCTGTTGGAATATTAATTACATTGAAAATTGAATAATTTTGTAGGGTGTGAAATGTTATTCACTTATTTTTTTTTTATATTTCTTTTTGATAGATCATTTGTTATTAATGGATTATGAGTATATTTATGTAGACTTACTAAAATTAATGACAAATAATTTACAAAAAAAATATTAGAGCATTATATCTCGTTCCTATCCCAAAAAACATGGCTTTTGTTGTCATTCACGAAAAAGTTAAACCCAAATGATGACTTTCTTAATTTTCCCTTTGAAAAGGAAGTCCCTCATTCCCTTGTTTCCTGCTAAACAACCGACAAAACTAATCCCATGAACCAAGCTTCCATTGAAATTCCCAAAATACCCTTCTCTCCATTAACCCAGCCAAAAGGGTAAAATAGTAATTCCATTCGCCTTCTACTAATGTCACAGGCTGAGCTCCTCCCACCTCATATATGTCACAAGGTAGAACTTTCCCTTTCCTGTAACCTAAACCTCAAAAACCCTCTCTTGATCTATACATACACTGATACAAACGTCTACACAGACAGAGAGATAGAGTGTTTTTAGAGAGAGAAGAAGAAGAAGAAAATGACAACCCAGTTTCCAGATGACTTCAAATGTCCAATTTCACTAGAGATAATGTCTGACCCAGTGATTCTCTCTTCGGGTCACACATTTGACCGGTCCTCAATCCAGCAGTGGCTAGACGCCGGCCACCGGACATGTCCAATCACGAAACTTCCCCTGTCTGAACCTCCATCTCTCATCCCCAACCACGCTCTCAGAAGCCTTATTTCCAATTATACTCTTGTCTCCCTCCCTAGGCCTCAGTCCTACCCTGACCCCCAAACCCTCATCCGAACCTTAACCAATCCCTCTTCTCCGGTGGACTCCAAACTCAACTCGCTAGACCAACTCAGCCGTGTATCGAAGCGTGACTCAGCTGTACGTCGTCGTTTGACCGAGTCAGGTGCTGTTTCAGCTGTTCTCAACTGTGTCAACTCGGATGACTCAGCTCTTCAAGAAAAGGCGCTTCATTTGTTGTTGAATTTGAGTCTTGATGATGATAACAAAGTGGGTTGGTGGCAGAGGGCGTAGTGGGCAGAGTTGTCGCCGCCTTGTGTGGTGGCTACGCTGGCGGTGATGGCCGAGCGGTGGCAGCGACTGTGTTGACCAGCTTGGCAGTTGTAGAAGTGAACAAAGCCACAATTGGAGCATTCCCATTTGCTATTCAAGCTTTAGTTTCGCTTCTTCGGGTTGGAAACGGAAGAGAAAGAAAAGAATCGGCGACGGCGTTGTATGCTTTGTGCTCATTTCCTGAGAATCGTAGACGGGCCGTGGATTGTGGAGCAGTGCCGATTTTGATCGAATTGGTGAACTCGGGTCTCGAACGGGCTGTTGAGGTATTGGGTTTGTTGGCAAAGTCTAAGGAAGGGAGAGAGGGCATGATGAGGTTTGATGGGTGTGTGGAGGTTTTGGCGACGGTTTTGAAGAATGGAACTTCGAGAGGTGTTCAATATGCGCTTCTGACTATGAATTCGTTGTGTTGTTGTAGTGAAAAGGCTTGTTTGGAAGCCTTGAAAGATGGGGTTTTTGAGATCTGTGTTGAAAAATTGGAGGATGATAATGAGAAGGTTAGGAGAAATGCAAAGAGTTTGATACAGGTTTTGCGAGGCAAGCATTCAATGAGGTGAATACCGAATCGGTTTAATTGCTATGAATGAATGGATGGCTTTGGAAGAAGATGAAGGGTCAAGGTTGGGTTTTGCGGGCATAATTTGTGGATTTTGTTATCTCCCATTTTCGATGGTGAGGTGGTTCTCCTTTGTTTGATACTCTTTGTACAAAAAGATTACATTTGATGAAGGATGTTGTTTTGTTGTAATATCTTGTATATTACTGCAATAAAGATGACACATATCAGCTCTCTGTTTTAGCTGTGTTAATGGAAAGTTTCAAAATTGGTTCTTTCCTTAGTTTTCCACCTTAAAGTTTCTTATATGTCAAAGCATTTTGTATTGGGCATATATCTAGAATATTTGATTTGCAAATTAAGGGTTTGAATTTCGGTTAATTGCAGCAACATGCAAACAGCATCTAAATTCTTGGACAGGGAAAGCAGTGTAGGCCTAGCGTGAGAACTGATTTGTGCATTTTTTGCCTTTGATAATGATTTGAGTACTACTTACATCTGTGGTTCCCTTTGTTAGTTAGTCGATGAGAATTTGATGTCTTGTATTTTTTGTGATAGCGTTTGATTGAAGGCTTTGCATTCTCAAGCATAAATGACCCGTTGCTGAATTAGTTTCTTTCTTTGGTTAACATTGGTTTGAAAGCATTGAAACAAGAAGTCCAAGAGAGAACAAGAATGCCTTTGATGGCATCTGAAAAAATATTGTTTCTGTTTATTCGAAAACAATGTTCCAACAAACTGGTGTTTTGGGAAGCACAATGGCGATGTTTTGGTCCAATATTGAATCAAACGGTTGTCTGTGTGCTCATGAACAAACACTTGTTAACTAGATTAGTGTTTTAGTCAGTTATTCTTTTCGGTACCCTTTGATCTCGGTCTTGTCTTGCAGTGAAATATGTTATCATCACGAGTGCTTAAAAGCATATGCATGGTGCTTTGTTCTTGCCCCTTGGTCGTGCTTAAAGCTTCTTTCGCAATAACCTTTCAAAGTGTCTCGAGTGCCTAGCTTTGAGGTAACAAATGCCTGCTCAAGTTTGAGAAAACTACTTTACTTCCAATCTAATTCTGTTATTATTTACTTCATGATTAATGCATATTGCGTGTATAATCGGTGGATCTCACATGACTAATTACCTGTAGTGCTGTTGGTATCTTAGGAAATGCTCTCTCTATGTCTCTCTCTCTCTCACCTGAGGCCCTGACCTCTTCTCTTCCCTATCTCCCCCCAACCTCCCTCCACCCATCTCTCTCTTTCCCTCTGAGTAATGATTAATTTATTTAATTCCTTGCTTGAAACGTCAGGTTGGTTTATCTGTTCGCGGTCCAGCCATTAAAAATGTGAGAAAGACAAACCTTACACAGAATCTCTATATATTCAAGTTGTATGCACCTAGGTATCCATTCTATAGGTTGAAAATGGCCATAAATCTTATATTTAACATGGATACCCTACTATACCATTGTTCTTAATCTTTCGTTAGTAGTAGTACCACAGCTTGCTTGTTTGATTCCTGTGTTATTGGTGAAGCAATGGGGTTGGGTGATTAAATATTTCATAATAGAATGCAGCTGGCTATGGAAACGAAGGTTGACTTGGTTTTTATCGTTCAATGGCCATTGACATATGAAACCGCATTTGGTTGATTTCAGGTATGAATAGTAGCTGCCGGGCTGCGAAAGCGACTTTGTAGATGATGATATTAGGTGATGGGTGCTTTTTTCTTTCTAATATATTGCAGTTGTTGTCTTGTGATTGTCAAATTGTTAAGAGTTGTTGATGGGAACTTCAAGGACGGACTTTTTCATATGTTGTGTGTGTGATCTTGTGTGGTTACTTGCTATAGAATTCTCAAGTTTTCTTTGGGTGAGTAGAAATCCTCAAGTTTATCTCCCAAACTACAGATGTTCCTTGGTATGAAAAAACGTGTTTACAAAATATGCTTTTAAAAGAAAACTAAAAAAGCGCATATATGAAAAAATGTGGGTTTGTACCCTTGCGGGAATGAGATTAGCGGTTGGGTTAATAACCTTCGTTCTTGCTCCTGCCCCACTCTTAGGCCTTGAGGTCGGGAATTCAAACTTTATTGTTCCCTTGTCTTGCCATTATGGGAATACTATTGTTTGGGAGGGTTTACGCCATACTTTTACGGAAATAATAATAGTTTTGAAAATATGGAAAAAAGTATAGTGAATAGTAAATTAGGATTAAAAATCATGATAGTTTGGGATAAAATTCATCTTTGTTTTTGGTGGGACTGTAACTTTCTTTTGGCAACAAGTGGATTAGTGCGGCTGGTACTTTAATTTTTTTTCTCTCTTTTGGCAACAAATGAATTAGTACTTACCCTTATTTTTGTTCCTGAAATAAGCATCTTTAGTGCAACTCTTACTCTAGTTTTCTTCTTAGGTTTAAAAAGAAGATTTTCAACTCCAAGGATAGTTGAAGTGGTAAATGAGGTAACTTATAAATTCAGACGTCTTAAGTTTAAATTTTGATAATTTTTTGAGATCAGGTCATGAGAGATTTATTCCTTCATGAATATCTTATGAAGAATATAATTTCAGCGTGGATGACCTGTGTTTGAGCGGACCGAAGAGGAGATTAGTTGAAGTGTGTGTAAGTTGGTCTTAACACTCCTAACTTTTAAAAAAAAAAGATTTTCCCTAGTTGTGGATGCATACAACATACAACTATATTTTGGAATTATTTTGAGCTTAGTTCGGACTTGACTCGTTTTAAACAATTTTTTAAGATCATTTTTTTAAAAACGAACTTGACAAACTTGACTCGATTATCAACTTTACCTATCAGTTGATAGCTCTATCTATAACTAATATTTTGTCACTATGTCTTGTTTTTTTTTTCCCTCTTTTTGAATTCATTCTTCGACCACCACCACCGCCATTATCACCGCCGCTGTCTCCCCTAATATTTCCTCATTGTGGTACCATGTGGGGTGGGTTCTAATTCAAACTTATTGGATAATGATCTTACTTTGCATGTACCCTGATTATGGTTTTACCATTGTCTATGAGGAAATCCTAGTAGAAGAAATGCATGGGATGTGTTATTTGAATAGAGTTCATTGATTATGTGGTGATTCATATGGTGAATTATTGACCAACAACCAACCCAAAATAAACATATGGTTTCTTCTTCAAGCTCTCCATGAAACTTGGTGGAGCCCACTACCAACCCCTTTGACCGAGGCAATGTTGGTGGTTGGTTGATCAACAATCTCTATTGTTATGAAAGAAAAGTGGTGGCGTGGATATACATTGGGCAATGGATAGTGGAGAGCCAACTGAAAATAGAATCCAAATAATGCAATCCTCCCAAAAGCCAACACCAATTACCAAAACCCAATAAACACGTCTCTCTCTCTCTCTCTCTCAATTCAAGTGATAATAATAATAAGTTATTTACAATAATTCAAGTGATAACAAGAATAAGTTATAAATTTAAATATTTTTACTTTAAATTTTATTAATTCATTAGAGTTACTCCATGAATAATTTATTTTTTATAAATATTTTTGTCACGATTAAATCGAGATCGAGACTAATCAAAATTGACATAAATATTTTGAGAAAAAAGAGATATGACAAGACATTTAGTCTTCTATCCCTCTCAACGGTGCAATGCCATTAATGCATGATAGCAGAGGCACTCGTGGAGAAAAAGGCAACCTCACTGGGTCCTTTCAGCCATTTATGATGAGAACGAGAGCATCTTTTAGAACAACTAAGCCAGACCAATGTTAGAGAATAACGGAATTTTTCTTCTTTGTTAACTCAAGTACTAAATTTGCATAAGATTCTCGAATTTGGGCTGCAAAAGAGGGAAAAGAGACTAGACAACCATACCATCTTTCATTTATATCTCAAAAATTATTTTTTATTTTTATAAATAATTTTAAAGATAAAAATTATTTGATTAGTTATTTTTCATTTTTAAAAATTGAGAATAAAAATTAGATAAATTTAAAGAATAAATTAGAACTATTTTATATACTTTTGAAACTAACATTTTTAAAATTTAGAAAATATCATTACCACGCATCCACCGCCATTTCAACACTCCCACCATTACCCTTCCACCAACACAACCACCACCACCACCACACTTTCGTTATCACTATCATATTCTCACCACCATCTCAACTGCCACCATACTCTCACCACCACCATATTTTTTGTTTTCATTATTTTTTAGATTACTGTCCAAATAATTTTTTTTGTTTTCTATTTTGTTAAACTATTTTTGGAATCATATAACTAAATAAGTTCTGTAACACAAAAAATATAAAAAATAATTTTTTAAAACTCTTACAAAAAAATAATTTTCAAATACTATTTTTTGAGATGCAAACTAAACAGAACTCTAATTTTCTGATTACAATTTCAATGGATTTGTGTCACAAAATCCATTGAATTTTGTGACTCAAATCCATTGAATTTTCACCTTTTTAAGATATCAAAATATGTTTCTCCAAAATTTGTTGGGATTGACATAGATATCTAAATCCATAGACAATTTTCAAACAATTATTTTTTTTGTTCAAAGTTTGGAATAAGTTTAAATGCTTGTTTCAGAACTTCCTTGGATAAAAAAAATGGACAATCACATTGTGCAAATTTGAAATGAAATAATAGAAAATTAATAAAAGAGAATTCATTTATTAATTCAATTGAAGGGACTTAGGTTGCAAAAAGACTGAATAAACAACATTGATTATAACACTAACTACTTCTAAAAACTAATTTAAAACTGCTCCTAATAATGCTCATATCCTAAGTCTTGTGGGAGTTTGAGTGTATCTCTATCCTCTCTAATTGCCCTTTTGTAGTCATTATCTTCGACAATTTTATTTTTGTCGACAATAACCTATTGGTAACTCCCAGTTGATTATTTTTTCTTTTCAAACATGATTGTCACTGATTATTTCTCATTTTTTCTTCATTTTCTATCACGTGTCATTTTCTTAGTAATTTCGTATT